GGCTGGTTCTTAATGAAGCGGCTGAACATGGTGAAGGCGGCGAGTGGCTGGTCTGTGGGCACCATGTGTCCGGCACCCTGCGGGACACAGGTGGCAGGGTCAGTGCCCAGCCAGCACCTCCCTGCTCCGACCACAGCGCTGTGCCCGGCACCGCCAGCGGCCCTGACCCTGTCCCAGAGCCCCCAGCCCTACCTTGACAGTGAGGAAGGCGATGTTGGTGAATTCCTTCACGAAGCCCCCGATCTGGTTCTCACCTCTTTCAGTATAGAGCCAGGGCCGACGAGCCACCTGCACCTGGGGCCAGCAGCACCCTCAGTGCCCCGGCTGCCCCAGGCTCTTGCCATAGCCAGCCCTGGCATAGCCAACTGCACTGATGACCACCTGGCCCAGACCGTGCCCACTTACCTTCTGGCACAGGGAGTCCACAAACCACTCATCCCCAAGGAAGTTGCAGGCCATGTCAACATCCCCGTTGTACACCAGGATCCGGTATTTCTGTGGAGCAGGAGGAGAGTGAGTGTTCTGCAGGGCAGCAGCCCCAGCCAGGCAGGAGGCCAGTGTGGCAGAGCTGTTCCCAGGGTCCAGGGGATTTTTCTGCACGCACTGTGGCTCCAAGCAGCTTCAGGTACTGGTCGTTCATCTGCATGTAGAGGCGCTTGTAATTGCGGTTCACGTCGAAGCTGCAGGGAAAGCGTTGGTGTCAGGCAGCTGTTCCAGCTCGCTGGGTCCTGCCCTGCTGGATCTCACTCACCTGCACAACTCCCACTCTGGGGCCTCAGGGGAGATGTGCAAAGCCTTCCGCACCTCCGGGGAGTTCAGATACATGCTGGGAGCTGTGGAATTGGTGCAGGGAGGGTCCATCCGGACCTTCTTCCGGGCTAACGGCATCCGGAACAGGTTCTAGGAGGGAGTCAGGAGAGTCCCTGCCATGCGCAGCTCCTAGTGCTGCCCCAGGGAGCACCCATGCAGTGACCATGGGCAGATGATGGTCACAGCCTGGTGGCATGGGTGCCTGGGCTCACCTGCCGCCAGGAGAACCTCATTGGCATCCGGATGAAGGAGTTGCCCAGGTCATGTGTGATGAAATAGTCACCCTCATACCTAGCATGGGGACAGGAGAACACTGGAGGAACAAGGGTGCAGAAGACTCCTTGGGGGAGCCCTCAGCAGCAGCCAGACACAGACCCCCTGCCCAGCCCACCACGTCCAGGATCACACCCGCCATGAGCGAGTGCGTGGAAACACGTCCTGCCTGGGGCCACTCCCACCTCACGCTCCCAGGGACACCACCATCACACGGGGCATAGAGGTTGTAGATGTTGAGACCGGATTCCTCTATGATCTGAATCGCCTCCTCCATCTGCAACAGGCCACAAGAAAGGACTCAGAACACTCAAAGGACCGTGAGCCCACCCAGGGCCAGGCAGGTGGGTGCTGCTCACAGACACCAGCATCAGGCACGCACTCAGGGGCTCTGGTCTCCCTCACCTTGAGCGTGCAGTTCAGATTGGAGTTGTCATGGAAGTTGCACTTCCCTTGGGAGCAGCAGAAGGTCTGCAAGTCCTTCCAAAGCCTGCAGGCAGAGAGCAGGGGCTGGGACCACACTGCCAGGACAGGAACACCAACCCACGGCCACACAGCTCACAGCTCAGCCCAGTGCCCCGCAAACGCCACAAAGAAGCGTGCCCACCAGAGGTGCCCAGGACAAGGGGCCATGCCCACAGCCTGGCTGCTGGCCTGAGGCAGGCCTGGAGCTTCCCTCATCCCACACACCATGCGCCCACCAGCTCTATCCCACACCATATCCCTGTCCTGCTGGCATAAGGACACTGAGTGGCAGTGCTGCCCCTCCTCTTACTCTGTCCCCAGCAGGCCATGGTAATAGGCAAAGTACACCAGGGAGTTGTCATTGATCTCATAAGATGAGAGGCCGTTTCCCACAGCGATTCCCTGCGAGGCAAGAAGAAAACAACACTGTTGTGTTCCAGCTCCCTGTGGGGTGGCCGCAGCATCCGGCAGGAAGCAGATGTGGCACTGTTTACCCCATGGAGGGAACAGGAGGCGCCTGAGAACGCTCCCCTGGCCCACGCGGCAGGGAGGGATGGACACCTCCTCCTGCAGCTGCTGCCAGCACCCCCGGAGAAGATGAAAGCCCGTGGGTCAGACCCGCCCCACGCCCTCGCACGGCCCCACACATCAGCTGCGTGGCTGGTCCCCACCCTGGTACCACCCCAGAGCCCCGTGCTATCAGCTCAGCCACAGCCTCGCACCTTCAGGTTGAGGCTGGGGTCCTGCATCACCCACTCAGCCAGCGTGGGAATGTAGACCCCCCCATAGCTCTCCCCGGTGAGGAAGAGATCATTCTTGGAGTACTCAGGGAAGAGCCGGAGGAACTCCTTCAGTGCCAGGTAGTTGTTGTGAGCAACCTGCGGGCAGGGGGAGCTGGGGTCAGGCAGGAGGCAGGGCCCCTGTGCGTGGGCAGGGGCAGGCAGGGAGGCAAGACCCCCCAGCAGCCTGGGTTACCCACCTCGGTGTCATTCGTGGCATACTTCTTGTCATCAGAGTACGAGAAGCCAACGCCAACGGGGGACTCCAGGTAGAGTATGTTGGCGATCTGCAGGGACAGCAGCAGAGCTGGGGGTCAGGGCAGACACGCCCCCCCACCCCAACTCCCAGCCTGGCTGGTGGCAACACCCATAAGCTGCCCTTGGGCTGGCTGGGGACTACATTACTGCCCTGCTCAACTTGAGGGGAGGAGGGTGGGATAGGGAGGGCCAGTGGGAGGCTCATCTCTGTGGGAAGGGCAGGAGGAACTGGTTCAGGGCTCCCTCTCCCTGCAACTGTGGGGGGCCGCAGTGCCTGTACCCGCACCTTGTTCCAGGCATAGTCGTTGTACTTCAGCGTCACCCCGTCGGGCTGGATCTGGGGAAGCAGAAGGCAGTGACTAGTGGGCACACTGGCCACAGCAGGGTGGCTCGTGCCATGCAGCTGGGTGGCCCTGAGCCACAGGATGGCTGTGACTACTGACCAGGAAGGGGCCGTGCTCCCTCAGGAACCCCTCCATGGAGCTGCACCCAGGGCCCCCATTCAGCCACAGCACCAGGGGGCTGCTCCGG